CCGAGGCACTGCTAGTCACAGACAGACGTGGTTATGAGCTCCCACGAATCGTGATAGACGGATTCGAGGTCAAGTGGAGTAAACAAATTAAATACCTTGGTGTGGAGTTGGATGGAAGGTTAAACTTCCACCACCACATGGCTACGGCGTCGAATAAGGCGATCGAGTGTGCGGCTAATCTTTCACGGTTAATGCCAAATGTTGGCGGACCCCGTGAACAAAAAAGAAGACTGGTGGCGAGTGTCGCCCACGCTAAAATGCTCTATGCAGCACCAGCGTGGGCCCCATCCCTGAGGAGTAAAAGATGTGTTACCATCTGTGAAAAGATACTGTCGGCGCAGAGATCGATAACAACGCGTATCATCTCTGCATATAAGACGGTATCTACGAGTGCTGTGCAGGTCCTTGCAAGTGTCCCGCCAGCAGATCTCTTGGCGAGGGAAAGGGAAGAAATGTTTCTCTTTTCTAAAGAAAGCAGTTCCTGGGATGAGGAATTAAGACCAAGCAAGGGCCTGATCCGCAAAGAAGCGAGGCACAGGCTCATAGAAAGATGGCAGGAAAGATGGGATGGTGAGGGAAAAGGTCGATGGACCTATCGCCTTATCCCGGCACTCGCCACCTGGATAAATAGGAAACACGGTCAGGTTTCCTATTATTTGACTCAGGCGCTCACAGGTCACGGGTGTTTTAACTCGTACCTGTGTCGCTTTAAATTACGCGAGAACGAGGTGTGTGCATATTGCCAGTTCCCTGAGGACAACGCGGAGCACACCCTCTTCTCATGCAAAAAATGGGACTTGGAGAGGCGGGCCATGTTCGAAGGTGTAAACAGTCAAGTTACACCGGAGAATATGGTATCGCTGATGACCCAGTCGGAAGAGAATTGGCGGCAAGTCGAGAACTTCATAATCTCGGTTATGTCGAGGAAGGATCTCGACGGCCGCCAAAAAGCGTAATTTAAACAGCTTTTAATTTGTTTGTTTGTTTTTTATTAATTTATTTTGTGATTTATTTGTCCCTATACATTTTTTTTAATTTGTTTTGTTTTTTTTATTCATCTTTGTACAATTTTATGTTTTCAATATTTTATACGCGTTTATTTTTATTTTTTTTTATATATCCGTTTATAATTTTATCTTTTGACTTTTTAAACTTCTTAAAATTTTTGTTTTTTATTGTTGTTGTGCTGTTAATTCCGCTTTTATATTGAAATAGTTTTAAATTTTTTAACTATTGACGCAGGAGAACCGCAGACACAGAACAAAGTCGCAGCAGCGATAGAGTTGGAGCGCCTCCCTCGAAGGCTAAAGTCTTACGACAGTTCCGAGGGAGGGTAAAGGGCTCCAAAAGAAGGGTTACGGGTTTTAGTGGGTCGGGCTGGTAGTAGGTCGCCAGTTTATTAAATTTATTATAACATTTATTTATTTATCCTTTTTTTAAATTCCCTTTTTTTTATTTTACCAACCCCACATAACCTTGGAGTGCGGAATCCAAGGTATCTGTAAACAGATTTCCCAAAATTCCCTAAGCAAAAAAAAAAAAAAAAAAAAAAAAAAAAAAATAATAATAATAATAATAATAATAATAATAATAATAATAATAATAATAATAATAATAATAATAATAATAATAATAGTATGCTATTTTTAAAAAAATCAATGTAAACATATATGCACTTCTTGTTCATAAAGAACTTGGTAAAAAGTGTGTGACGTTTGAAGTTTTTGGGGAAATCGACTATCGCTCGCGCCAAAATTGAATTCAAACTTTCAAATTCACAAAAGTTGTCATAACATTGAAACAATTTGATGGATTTCGATCTTTTTTTTCTTAAACTGGGCTATCTTTTTCTCACGAATTCAAATCTGCAATTTGTTTTTTGAAAAAATTTTAAATAATAAGAAAAAATTAATAATTAAAAAATTTTTTTTTGTTTTTTTGGAAAAAAATCAATTTTTTCATATTTTTTATTTTAAATTTCTCGAGTAATAAAAACAGCACTAATTTATTAGTTTCATTTTCAAAAAATTAAATTTTCAGAAAAAATACAAGCCCAGAACTTGTTTTTTGTTTTGTTCAGTCAAAATTTCTGAATTTGGCCACCTAAAACAAACTTTTTAAATTTGCAGTTTGTTTATACATAATTTGTTACAGCCAGGTGGTACAAAACATTTTTGGAATGCGTTTTCCAAAATTTTAATTATTCAATTAGTTATAAACAAATAATCTTTAAAGTAGCCTTTCAGAAAATTCACTATTTCTTCGTTGTTCTTTGATAAAATTTAATAATATTTGGTAGAGATATGTATACAAAAATAATGCCTCTATTAATAACAACAAGAATTTACAAAATTCATGATTATGTATGCAAAATAAATTGTTAATTAATTAAACAATTAAAGTTTTAAGTGACTTCTGGAATAGTTACGAAATAAATTCGTGAAAAAATTTACTTTTTTGTTTCAAATCACTTGACAGGTCACAATTTTTTACCGAAATTGAATGTTTGTTTTAACAATAAGTATTAATAAAATCATAAAATCGTCAATATATTTCTTTTAGCTTTATTAATTAAGAAAACTAATCAAAAAATCCTATTAAAATAATGTTTGAGTGTTTGTGATGTATCAAAAAAAGTATAACAATTTATTTAATTTTTTATACAATTAATTATTATTATTCTTCTCATAAACTGCACTTAGGGCAAGAAATTTATATTTTTAACTATATTGTGCATTCTTTTGTAACTAAAACATTCAAGTATAAAAGAAAAACTATAAATTAATTATTCAAATATTTTTTAAACAATTTATTCGGTTAATTTTATAATGTACTGTCTTTAAAATTATGTAATTTGCTCAATTTTTAAAGGTACCAAAATTATTTTATTGGAAATTTAAGTGTAGGAAATATAGATTTTTGTAGTTTTTGATTTTTTTCGTAACTATTCCAAAAGTCACTTAAAACTTTAATTATTTAAAAAGTACATTAACAATTTATTTTGCACAAATGATCATAAATTTTTTACATTCTTGTTGTTATTATTATTAAATTTTATCAAAAAGATCCAAGCAATAGTGAATTTTCTAAAAAGGTACTTTAAAGTTTAATTGTTTACAACTAATTAAAAAAATTAAAATTTTTGAAAACGCATGCGGGGAATGTTTTTGTACCACCCGACTGTAACAAATTATGTATAGACATAATGCAAATTTAAAAAGTTTGTTTTATGTGACCAACTTTAGAAATTTTGACTCAATATTTATTATAAAAATAAAATAATTCGTTTATGTCTAATCTATATATAGAGATAAAGATATGTCTATTTGTAGAGTAGACAAATTTTTTTTACATTATTATTAGCCACATATTGTCATAAATAAGTTATTTCAAAAATACCCCAATTTTTATCAAAAAACAAGTTCTGGGCATCCAGCCAAAAATGTAGAAATTCCGTTGAAAAAAGCCATGTTTTTAGTTAACAAATGGAATTTTTCATAAACTATATATGGGATTGGCTTTAAATTTTGCATACATCTTAAGGGCCCTGAGAGACATATTTTTGGAGAATACCGAAAGAATTAGTTAACTTTTTTCAAGTTATTAAACAATTAAGAAATTGTCATTTTTAGTGGTTTAAATTAATTTGCAAGTAAACAAATTTTAAAATCAATTAAAGTAAACCAATTTTAACAAATGACCTATCATTTTACAGGTATTTCTGAGCTCTATAACTTTTAATAACAACTTTTTCTCATATAATTTCATGGAAAAGAACAGTCATCAAAAAAACTGTTTTTCGTCACTTTCAAAGTTGTTTATAACGCGCAGCCTGTAAAATCTCGAGTGGGAAACATATACACATTCATACTATCACCCCACACTATATGAATCCACAGTCAGAAGTCAGGTATTAATTTTGGCACAAAATGACCACTTTTTTCACAGGGCGACTGGACTAACAGCCTTAATACAGAAACCTGAATAATCTGAATAATATTTTCGAAATTAATTAATAATTACAAAATTATCAAAGAACTCAGAAAAACGGCAGCATGGCAACAATATTTCGAAAATATTTTTCAGATTAAGCAGGTTTTTGTATTAGGACAGCTGTGCTGTCGATACATATGAAACTCATGTTTCATGTCCAAATTGTGAAATTCATTTCACTTTTACTTTGGACTAAAAATATATACCATAAATTTAGTTTCTACTACTGGTTTGGTCAAGAAATTTGCAAATACATTTTTTTTGAACGAAAATAAGCAACAGTAGAAGACCGAATAGTGAAGAATTTTTTGTGCTTCTTATTTGCTTAATTGAAATTGAAAGTGAAAATTTTTTTGGGTAAAAATTGAAAGTGAAAATGTTTTAAGTGAAATTTAAAGTAAAAATTTTTTTGTGTGAAAGTTGAAAGTAAAAATGTTTTAAGTAAAATTAAAAATTTTTTTGGTGAAAATTGAAAGTGAAAATATTTTAAGTGACTTAAATAATTTAAGTTAACTCGCTTTTTAATTTTGCAGCGAATTCGCATTTTAACTTCCCAGCGAGTATGCTCTGCGAACTCGTACACAGGCGGACATTTGGTTTTCACCTGAAGTTCGCAGGGAGTTTGCTTCGAAATGTTGTGCTATGTAATTACCAAAAATAATATAGTTTATTAAAAAATAATTAAGTTTTAAGTCAGACTACAAATTCAGTACTTTTCTTTCTTGACAAAGCAAAAATTCCACAGAATGTCTGCAATTTTTCCGCCGACTTTAAGCTGACTTAGAAACTATGTATCTTTGAAAACGCTTTGGGTCCAACGTAAGAATGGTATAAAACCTATATTGCGTTGGTTCCAAAACATTTTCCAAAAATACACACTTTCTACTCTGTACTTATAACATAGGTGTTTATTAAACTGTCAAAAAGATATAAGCTTTTTAGACATGCGGTGAACGATTTATATCATACATTAAGAACTTCGTTTTAATTAATCTTATTATACTTACTTATACACATTGTTGTGATATTTATTATAACTTGCATAAGCTAGAAGAACTCCAAATCCTGGTCCAAGTGAAAAAAATACTTGTGTTGCTGCATCCACCCACACCTATAAATTATTATTTAATTTTTTTACAATTTTTAAAAACATCTTATTAGTCCTATACATGTTTTGATAGAAACTTTTTAAAAAAATAAATGAAAGATGCGCCTACATCTTAGGGTTTCGTTGCTTAAAAGAATAAAAAAAATAAATAAATAATAAAACCAATCTTAACCCCACGGACATTATTATTTATTAATATTAATAAATAGAAAATTACCACACAAATTAAGAATTTTTGCTTCCACTCAACACCTAGTAGTTTCTTTGATTACCATGATAATCGGTGATATGGTAACCATTACCATAGCAGCAACCTAACGGTTGCAACCGATGTTGTGGTAACCATTCACAGAAAAAAACTATACTCAAAATGAGTATCATATGATACTCATTTTGAAGTGCAACAAAAATGGTACCCCTTCGACTCATTCTGAGTTTCTGGGGAAAAGACTCAAAATGAGTGAAAAGCGGTATCATTTTGGGTTTATGATAAAATTACAATAACATTGGAATAACTGGGAATAATTCATAAAAAAAAAGTATTTAAAAGTATGAATTAAAATAATTGTTTATAATGAATAAACACTTTGCACTTGTCAAAACATTAATACTTGAAGACGATTTATCGCATTTATGAGAAATAAAAACGAATTTTTAGGTTAGACATTTGTGAATTGACTGACAGGGATGGGCAATCAAATGTCATTTTACTCATTTTGAGTCACTTGAAGTTGCCGATTACTCATTTTGAGTCACTTGAAGTTGCCGATTACTCATTTCGAGTCACTTGAAGTTGTCGATTACTCATTTCGAGACCGACTACTAAATGCGTTGCAACAAAATTGAGTCGAGTTTTTTTCTGTGTTACCATAACAACGGTTCTTAAGCATGAAAGGAAGTTTTAAAAATCAACTTTTGCAATTATAAATTTGTTTTTAAACAATTTTGAATCTCAAAATGTGTATGTAATATATAAGGGGCAAATTTTCACAAGTGTACCAATGTCAAAATTGCAAGTTGTTGGATCGGGCTAATATTTTTACAGTATTTAGTACTATGAATGAGTACTTAAAACCGCCAAGTATTATGAAATTTTATAAAAAATTGTAGAGGGGGGATGGGGGTGGAAAATTTTTAATAAGTACACTACCGGTCCAAATTAAGAGATCACCCATTTTCAGGCGATTAAAAAACGTTTTAAAACATAAAATGTATTAAAACAAAAATTTTTTTCTTCTTATTTTTTGAAAAACATGATGATAAAATTTTGAAAAATACAAGATCTTTTAGGAGTCATTTAGCTAATATTTTATTTAGATATTTTTAAAAAATCGTCATTTTCAATGTTTTACAAAAATTTGAATAACTTTCAAAATAATGGAAGCTTTTTAATGAACTTAGGCTTATTTTAAAGATCATTTGCTACACTATAAGAATTATTTATAGCCATTAACGTATAATTTTTTTCTTAGAAAACACATGCTGTCAAACTTGGACCAAAAAAATTCAAAAAATTTGGTACAATTTTTCTGTACTAAAAACTATTTTAGAAAATATATAAAACATCATATGGTGTAGATTTTTCAAGAAAATTTAATACAAAAAATACGTTTGAATTTTAAGAATTATTTTTCTGTTAATAAGATTGTTTCAAATTTTTTGAATTTTTTTGGTCCAAGTTTAATGGCCTGCATGTTTTAAGAAAAAAATTACACGTTAATGCATAAAAGTAATTATTGTAGTGTAGCAAATTACCTTTAAAATAAGCGTAAAATCATTAAAAAGCGTTCATTATTTATAGAAGTTATTCAAATTTTTGTAAAACATTAAAAATGACGATTTTTAAAAAATATCTAAATAAATTATTGGCCAAACGACTTTTAAAATAACTTGTTCTTTTCAAAAATTTAACATCTTTCAAAAAATTAACAGAAAAAATTTTAGATTCAATAAATTTTATGTTTTAAAACGTTTTTATTCGCCTGAAAATGGGTGGTCTCTCAATTTTGACCGGTAGTGTATGAACAGTGAGTTTTCTAAAAAATCGTAGCTTTTATATAATAAAGTAAAAAAAATTTACCTGTATGTTTTTCGTAGGTTTTTTCCTGCTTTTTCAAATAGTGAAAATTTTTCTTTTAAAAATTCAAAATTTAACCCTTTTTTTTAAATTAAATTTTTTTTGATTAACCTACTTCCCGGCTTAATATTTTTTGACATTTTCTAAAGTACATTTTTTTAATTTTTACATTTTTGATGTAAGAAGAGATGATTTCTTTTTTACCTGAATAATTTTTTATTATTTTAATATCAATATCAAGCGTGATACACACATAAGGTATTAAATATTTTATATAAACAATCGTTACAAATAACTAGAATAAATTTTTTTAAAAGTAGAATTATATTAATATTTGTTTTAAAAAAAACTTACACTTTATCTTTATTTTTATAAATGATATTCATTTGTTAATTAATTTTTGTAAATATTTATTTATTTTTTATTGTTTATACTCCTGCCCTATTGGCCTTACGCACTTCGACAAGAGTCCCCGAGAAATACTTTTTTTTTTGGATTAAGCATAACCATTCTACATAAATTTTCTATATATTAACCTAATTTGCGTCTACAGCAGACTTTTATTAGGAGTACTCGCATTGCGCCTGGACCACCCGTCAATGGGTTTTCTCGCCAGAGAAGAGGGAAACTGTAGAAATCCTCTCCTGAGTATAACCGGTTTATCGACAGTCGACTTCTAATGGTGTGTACCGGACAATAACCGACGGTGCACATCATTATACCTCGACGTCAAACCTCCCGCTCAGATTGTCTCACGTGCCGGAAAAATACCAAGCCAAGTGGGCGAACCAAGGATACTTATACCCCTGGTCCTTAAACGACCGCCAACGTAAATATTCATTTATATAGCGTCAATTCATCGAAAATACTTCATATTGTGGTCGTTGAATGCGGATTTTGTAATGCTTTACAGTAGTTACTTCAGAATTGCGTTAACTTTATTTTCATGTAAAATATTTCAATTTTTATTAAATAATTAATTAATAATTCGAAAACAAAAAAACTTCATTTTTTTCGTTTCACATATTGAAAGTACACATCTTAAGCTTTCTTTTGGTACAAAAAAAAGAAAAAAATCGACCTTTGTGAAGAAAAAATTTAAAAAAATTTTAATTTTCAAAAAAAGGGTTAAATTTTGAATTTAAAAAAAATTTTCACCATTTGAAAGAGCAGAAAAACCTATCTAAAGGGTGATTTTAATACAAATTGCTTCCTTATTGCTTGATACAATAGACTTCGTTGGTTTATCGCAAATAAATAAAAATATTAATACACATGGCTCTATCTTGGACTACTCATTAATTTTCTTATTTTAATAATATCGAAATATCTCTAATTCTGATTATTTGCAGAATTTTAATATGGTATATGATTTTAAAAATGCTAATATTGCTGGTATTGTTACCCTATTGAATTCTACTAATTGGAATTCATTATTATCTGATGAGAATGTTGATAATGATGTTACTGTTTTTTATGATCTTTTGTATAATATTTTTAAATAATGCATACCATTGAAAAATGTCAATTTATCGAAATTCCCACTCTGGTTCACTAAAGAATTAAAAAATCTTATTTATTCTAAAAAAACCACTCACGTGAATTATATTAAAAATAAAACTCAATTCAATTATACACAATTTTCTAGATGAAGAAGTGAGTGTACAAAACTCTCAAAACTTTGTTATAATAATTACATTTCTGATACTGAAAAATCAATAATGACTTATCCCAAGCATTTCTGGAATTATGTAAATTCTACTCGTCGTGAACACAATATTCCAACGCATATGTTTTATAAGAGTGAATCTGGTGACACCTATTGAAATCTCAAATCTTTTTGCTAAACATTTTAAAGCTGTTTATACTTTACCGTCGTCAGAAGTCCCAGATTTGTCCTTTAATCGCAATGCAGACGTGAGCCTACATTTTATAACAGTTACTAGGAACGATATCTTTGAAAAAATAAAAAATCTGGATATAAATAAGGGGTCAGGGGCGGATGCAGTTCCTCCTTCTATTATAAAGTCATGTGGTTACTCACTTATCGAACCATTCATTATTTAGCATTTTTAAAAAATCATTAAAATCTTGCATTTTCCTTTTTGAGTGGAGAAAGGGTGTGATAGTTCCTGTTTATAAGTCTGATGATAAAAATAATACTCAAAATTATAGACCTATAACAATTTTAAGTTCATTTGCTAAAATCTTTGAAAGTACAGTAGAACCTCGATAAGTCGAGGTTGAAGGGAGACGCTGAAAACTTCGAGTTAAAGAGGTTTCGACTTATAGAGGGTTTCAAATTATAGAGGTTTCTACATGCTGTATATTTATACACAATAGAAAAGTTTTTATACGTACGTTTGTTATTATATTGTTATTAACATTATTATTAATAATAATAATAATTTTAAATTCAATACAGGAACCACTGTTTTAGGTGCGTGCAAAGCGGGGTTGCCATACTTTGCAACCCAGGGGTCAAACTTTTAACCAAAATAATTTTCGAACCGCTATAACTTTAAAACAAATGAATGGATTTTAAAACGCCCACAGAGTTTTTTCTGCAGAATTACCTAAACTTTAAAACTATGTATCACAAAAATTTTTTAAATTTATATTTCATAGAAAAAATTAAAAAAAAATTTTTTTCAATTTTTAACCCTTTATGCCCCCTTCGATTTTTTTCAAAATTACCTCAAAATATTTCTTTTTTTATTACCTTTTTATCCCACCAAAAGAAATTTTAGGACAGCAATATTTGAATGAGTTACAAATTAAAAACTAGCTCTGCGCACGCTCTCAATTCGAGAAAATGCTCTCGCGTATAGAATTCGAGTACCCAAAAATGCCACTAGGTGGCACTGATGAATGCTTCCTTACAACCGAGTTTATTTACGCATATTATAAGTATCGAGACTTTTTG